GCTATATACATACACATATGTGGGGCTTATGAAAGAGGTTTCCATATGGCTTTTTCAAACATCCCTAGAGTGAGTTATCCGTCCTCCAACCCCCTCGTGTACCTTGCCCTTCCAATCCTTTCCCATTTAACCCTTCCTCCCTATTATTCCGTTCGCTAATTGCCCTGAGTTTGTGTCTTTCTATCTATAGACCAGTGCAGTTCTCTGGCATCATCTAAAGATGTTTCTTTGTGCCGTGGACGGTGGTTGACAAATAAATTCACATCTGGTTAAAATGCGGAGGGTTAGTGACTGTGGGGTGTTCACCTGCAAATGAGACAGACACCTGGACCACACCCTCTCAAAGCTCAGCACCCACCCCAAGAGGGGTGGAAAGACGGTAAGATCCCAAGGTGTCTCAGACCAGGACAGGACCCATGAATGTTCACAGCATCTCTGGTTGCCTGCATAAAACAACTTAACATTCTAGCACGGAGTGAGAAGGGGTTCCTAAGTCCCGCCTCTAATTGAGGAGTTATTGGCAGTTGGTGGCTTCCCGGGGAGGAAGAGATGTTTTTTATGAGGCTGTGGCTCCTGGTAGGTCAACCAGATTCCAGTGGTTAGCTCCACATCTACAAGTCTGTGGACAGCACAAATTAGGGTGAGTGAATTATTAGATATTTTAAAAAGAGGGCATGAAACTGAGGGATAGGGAGATAGGAGATGGATCTGAGAGAGTAGAGAGGGTGAATATGGCCAAAATATATAAATTTCCTCAAAGAACTAATAAGAATATCTTAAAATCCATAAATAAAAGAGAGAGTGAGTGATTGAGGAAGACACATACACACGCACACGTGGTCACAACCCCACTTCTCTCTCTCTCTCTCTCTCTCTCTCTCTCTCTCTCTCTCTCTCTGTCTCATACACACACACACACAACATAAAAATAACATAAATGAATAAATAAATGCTTGTGAGAAAAATGGGGTCTGGTGATTTGCATACACATGACCCCTGTGGGTTCATATATTTAAATTCTTTAGTCAACAGGGAGTGGCACTACTTGAAAAGATTAGAAGGATTGGGGATGGGGTGTGGCCTTGTTGGAAGCAGTGCATCATTGGAGATAGGCTTTGACGTTTCAAAAAGCTCGTGCCAAGCCCTGCGTCTCCCTCTCTGCCTGCAGATCAGGGTGCAGTTTCTAAGGACTTCTCCAAGGACATGCATGCTGGCATGCTCCCTGCCGTGATGACAATGAACTAAACCTCTGGAACTGTAAGCAAGCCCTCAGTTAAATGCTTTCCTTCATAAGAGTTGCCTTAGTCATGAGGTCTCTTCACAGCAATAGAACAGTGACTAAGATTTGGGGAAAAGGGAATTCTTATACATTTTTTTGCAGGAATGTAAAGAAGTACAGATGCCATGAGAAAAAAAAAACACTAAAAATAGATCTAGCCTATGATTCAACTGTCCTACTTCTGGGACTGTAACCAAAGATATCTTTGCATGGCATGGTGCACAATGGCAAAGACAGTCAGCTCAGGTGCCCTGTCGCAGGAAAATGCTTTGACTATGTCCTTCTTTCTCTTTTCTCTGCCTGGCAAGTGCTGGGATTGCAGATGTACACCACCATATTCAGTTTCTGCCTTGTTGGAAATGGTACCCAGGACCTCCTGCATGCTATGCAAGCACTCTCCCGATTGAGCTGCATGCCCAGCTCTGCCCTGTCCTTTAGATCAGCATAAAGCCATTGAGCACAGCTGCAGGCTGACTGGGTGCCGGAGGGGATGAACACAGCATAGCAAAGGACACAAGAAAGTCCCATCATATTCTACAATGCAAACTCCAAGTCCGAAGAGATCTGCCTGCACGCCGTTGGCACACAGCTGTGAGCTGTCATTGTAGGATAAAGACCTCAAATTTGGGTTTCTCTACTATGAAACTAACACGTGTGCATTTAAAACAACTCAATTATGAGACACGGAATAGAATGAGAAGGCAGCTGTCCACACCAGTAATAGTCTCATACCCTGACACATACCACACATATAACAAATACCGCACACATAAACACACATCACATGCCATACCACACACTACACCCACATCACATATAAACACATACAAACACATATATCATACTACATACACATACTCACACGTCACTACAGACACACCGTGCACACATCACAAACATACACATACAACACCATACAAACACACTGTGCAAACACACAATCGCATGTGCACACACACACTCACTCCTGAGATGCACAGGTCACATACTACACTAATCACCACACTCACATCACAAGCACACACACACACACACACACACTACTCATTATGGATATGCTGCACACACACACACACATCTCAGGAGTTCTCATAGCGCACACCACACAGACACATGTCTCTAAGTGTCTCTGAACACTGTCAACATCTTTCTAAAACACAAACTGTGAGAAATACAGTTCCTGGAACTCCTGGCTGACCTCAAGAATGATGACGGGTCAGAGTAGGAGTGTGGTGACGAGGACAAGGGGCTGTAGTCACTTGGCGTTGGCTGATGGCTGTCATGGAATGAACTCCCCCATGAAGGCTGAGGCAGTGAGTCAAAGGACGGCTGTGCATCCAAACAGGGTTGTGTGGCACGCAGGACCATGGTCCATTCTGCAAGCCCAGGGTCAGGTTCAAATACAAAGCCATCTTTCCCCAAATCAGTGTGGTGCAAGGCAGCAGAGAGGAAGTGGCTTGAGGTTGTCTGTCAAGTTGCAGAGTGACCACAAGATCCAAGTCCCCAATACTGTCTCAAGAGTCTCATGGTACCTATATGTAATAAGTTCAGCTTTTTCTCTGGGACCATGATACCAAGTGTCAGGGTGCTTCAGAAATATAGTGCAACAGGATATAAACATGTATGAACACACATGTAGCACAAAGACACTTGCCAGGAGGGACTGACTCATGCATGGAGGCAATAAATCAAAACCCTAAGGTTTAAGGCCCCAGTCAAGTCTGAAGACACATGCACTGTTGTGGATAAGCCAAAGGTAACTCTCTAACTACCGGGATTAGCCCTTGGTCTGCTGAACAATCTATTCATGCCCATGGGTATTGGACAAAACCTTCCCACCCTGATCGGCCATATTCTGCAGCAGACAGATGTTCATCTCACCCAAACATTCTCATAAGCGTGCTGAGAAGGATGCTCAGAAAGAGTCAGGCTCAGTCTGGAGGACAGAGCATAATCAGACACCTGCTGACATGGTCCACAGAGGAAAGGTCTCCATCCTAGCAGACAGGGGAGGGGCCTCCATCACAGCAGTGAGAACTAGAGCCTGCATCAGAACAGATATCACAACAAGGCGGGGGCTCCATTAGAGAGAAGGAAGCCTGGACTGGGAAGATGGCTGCTACTGGTTAGGAAACTTTGAGGTAAAAGAAGCCTCGTTGAAAGACAGGTTTCAGGGATACCACAGAGATGCTGTGGGTGGAATTGCTCTTAGGAAAGACTGTCATTAGCAAGCAGTAAGAGCCCTGGTACCGCTCAGGCTGTGGGAATCTGATGTCTGAGGCTGGAAGAGCTGCTATAGAGACTCAGGGTCACCCTGTTCTATGCAGAAGACCATTTATCTGGGGAATGGAGATATAGATGCCGTAAAAACACACCTCTGCCAGCCGGGGCAGTAATGATGACACAGCAGGAACCAGCCAGAACACGGGCCTTTTTGTGGGGTTAGACACAGTGACCAAGAGACTGTGCTGTTACCCTGGCCTCAGGAAGTGACTGCAGAAACAGCTACAGAAGCATCTTCAACTGCAGCTACCTCTTCCTTCTTTAACTGGATGCTGTAGGAGCCAAGCACACTGAAACTGCTCATTCTCGTTGCACTTGGGGCGAGAACTAGCTTTGCCCAGCTGTATCCAAGATACTCGGCAAAGGTGGAAGGCCAGGCAAGTAGGACCAGAGCTCAGAGGAATCATGCTGGTCCTGGGCAGCCAAGACAGCTGGAGCCCTGCAGCCTGGCTTGTGTGACCCCCGGGGGCTTATGTTACTCATCAGATGACAGAGACGGCCCAAACCAGCCAAAGGTTGCCTTAACACACCAGAGGAACCCCAAGAAAGCATGCAAGAAAAGGTAACAGGGGCCTGGACCTGCCTGCTCAGGAATTTAGCCACGTTCTGCTTCCTCTCTCCTCTCCTTCCCCAAGCTGGTTTGGAGATCTTTTGCATTTCCTTTGTAACTGACAATTGTGCATGCGGTTCCCCCCAAAGATTCTCATTTCTCCCCACATGGTCGGTGAGGCTTGCCCAGAGCGCAGGAGTAGACTGGGGTGCGGTTAACTAAGGTACACAAGGCACAAGAGTCAGGTCCTGAAATGTACAAGAGGCTGGGGTCCCTGCCTTGCAGCTTGGAAAGGGATCGAGGCAGGGGCAGGGGCAGGGGCAGGGGCGGGAGTCCGGAGGGGCAGGGGGCTTAGCTTACCAGCTCAAGCTGGTAGTCAGTTAATTTCAGGTTAAAGATAGTATGGTTAACACTAGTCTTCTCGAGGCGAGTAACAGTATTAATAAGAATCCACTGAAATCCTTCTGGCCACCTAGGTAGATATCTACCCAAGCCCAGTTCTGCACTGGTATCTGCAGTTGCTGGGTCCTGGAGCACTTAAAATTAGAGGGATAGACGCAGGACCCTGGGGTCAGTGTCCAGGTTTGGGAGTGGGAGGAGGTGATCAGTGGAGGAATAGGGGCAGAGGGAATACAGAGAGTTGAAGAGCCCCAGCCAGAGTCGGTGGGTCCAGACAACGCAGATGCAGCGGACTAGTAGAGAGACTGGGCGGGGACTTAGCCCCAGGCAGGGACGTGGCTGGGAACCAGGATGTATCTGGGGACCAGCTGGCTGAAGCTCTGAAGCTTGGGTTAGGGGCGGCAGGAGGCGGGGTGACTCTGGGCCCCGCCCCGGAGGGCAGTGGCAAAAGTTTGCCTTCGGATCCTCTGGGGCAGAGTCTGGGCGAACAAGTTCAGAGGCAGGCGACAAGGTCCGGGTGCTGAGCGGAGGTGGCTGGACAAGCCTAGCCGGAGAAACCTGAGGCCAGGAGCGACCTCCGGAGGAGCCCCTAGACTGGAGTCTTAGCTGAGACGCGGCAGCAATGCAACCAGCCCAAATGATCCTAGGAGAACGAGGTGAGCGGAGGGACCGGATCCGCGGGTTGTGCAAACCAGAGTCTCGGGATGAGCGGCTGGGGGTCCACCTGAACCACTTTTTGGATAAAATTTCAACCAAGTCGGGGCTCCACAGTGACTTGGGCTTGCGAGTGCCTCGCTTCGGCCACCCCCTCCTGTTCACCAGGCCATTCATAACCCAAGAACAGGATATAGCCGCCTGTTGGAGCTCATGGAGAAGTATAGGGTTCTTTTAACTAACAACCAGGGCTTTTAAAATATGTTTGTAAACCCTGACCGGAACGAGCAGGCTCTCCAAGGGAAAGGTCTTTGCTTTACTTGGCTAATTAAGAAGTTAAAACACTCTCCTGAGAAGAAAACCTGGGCACTGGAAATGGCTGTGGTTTTTCCCTCTAGGAGAAAGCAAATCATTCTTTTAAGTTTTATTAGCTACAAAATTCCTGTTTTCTTAGCACGTCTCAAACTAGGCAATTAGGAGTGTCAGGCCTGGAGCTAGAAGGCAAGGTGCCTGCAAAGAGGTAATGAGGTTGCCAGGGAAAATTGGTATGTCATATGTTCTTAACTGAGATAGAAGAAGAAAAGGAAGGGTGGCCATTAACCATGAGCCTGTCCATGGTCTCAGCGTCCTTCTTTGTCTCTCCTGCCTGGAACAATCCTGATGGCACATTCCTTAGATTTAATGTAAGAGGGGCTTTTTGTCAGCTGTTTAAAGGGAATACTTTGCTTTGAACACCACAGTAAGGTTTATGTAACATCCTGAGCAGAGGGGAGGACTCTTCCCTGTGGCACCCACCTCCTTCAAAACCTCTAGAGTCCCTCATTCTAAAATCTGTAGTCACAAGTCTCTGGTATTGCATATCACCACCCACAAAAATGTATCTATTCAAAGGTCCATCCCTCATAGATGAAAACCAGGCAGACAGGATCAAGAGAACGTAATTCCTAGAAAGTGGAGCGAAGGGTTACATACTTCAGGTACATGCCTGGCAAGTTGTGGCCGTGGTCCGGGCTATTTGGTTGAGGTGGTGGTGGTGGTGTCTGTGTGTGTGCGTGTGCTCTCTTTGGGTAGCTGTGGAGGAATCTAGGTCTGTAAGCTTCTTAAGGGGTGCAGAGCTCAGTGCTGAGGTGAATATTGTATTGCCATCGGCCCCCATATTGGATCTGCCCATCTGCAGACTGGCAGATGCTCACATCTGGCTAGTGTCAGTGTGCCCTCATACATCAGAGGGTCCACCTGCAGAGCCTGCCCTTAGGAAACCCCCGCCACCATTTGGGGAGAAAGACATCATAATAACTTAGCGTCTCCTCGATGCCATTTGCTCTTTATACACACACACACACACACACACACACCAAACTGAGACCCTCCTGGTTCTCTACCATATTTGGATGTAGGGCCTCTCATTTTCTGTGAAGCTTTATATACTGGCCTGATGACCTGCTTCCCACAAACCAGGGACTGGTCCTTTTTCTGGAAAGCATGATACTTTGTTACACAGATTTCTTCCTCAATGCCTACAGTTTATGGGTATATATGTTTTTGTTACAAGAATAATAAACATTTTGAGTGCATCATAATCTTGAAAATATTGGGGTTCCCTTGCAGTCTCTGAACCCCTCCTTTTCCATCAAAGTCTGAAGGCCATTCTTGAGCAAGCTGCTTGTGTTAGCTGGGATCTGGGGTTGGGGTTCATTGAGACTTATCACTGTGTCTATGTTTTGGATCAACGTTATAGCATTCTACAAGGTGTCCTTCCCGCAAGCTCGTGGAAGAGATGCTCAGCAGGCTGACTGTGACCCTTGGATTTTAATATCTTTCTAGTCCCGTCTTTAGAGTTATCTAAACATTTCACCCAAGCTCCCAGACTGGTATTGGAATGCCAGTAGCTACAAGCAATTGGGCTATAAAGACACCAAGAGGCTCTTAGCACCTCCTAGTTAAGGGACCTATGACAAGTGACCAACTCATAAAAACCTTATCCCTGAAGGGGCGGGCTGGACAGATGCCTCCTATCCAGCCTCAGCAGGCTCTGCCATTAAGAACCTCAGTTTCCCCCTGTGTCCGTTCAGAAGTCATATGCTATCGTGAGGACTAGATAGGACATGAAGTGACCAGGGATGGACTTCCTGGGCAAGATATCTCATGTTAGCCCATATTGTTAACTTCCTGAGGGAAGAGATTTCCACAGATCTACATTCGTTTTCTGGAAAGCTTGGCAGTAAGTTGATGCCCTGTCCTTGCTGGGAAACAGCACTGTAAGGAGAATTTGAAAAGCATGATTTTCAGGCAAAGGGAAAAACAAATATAAAACAAAGTTAGATCTTGCATCCATGATCCGATGCTTTTCTACAGACCAGTTTGACGTTCAAGATGTTCACAGAGCACCCAATGTTCTTAAGACATGACCTCCATATCTGGAGTTTCTTGGACCACGTCCGGATTTGTGTATCATCTTGTTTGCTAATGAGAAGGACACGTGGAAAGCCCCACCAGGCAGAGGCACTTGTATCTATGCCTGAAGGAAGAAAAGGAGGAGAAACAGGGAGCCTTCCCCAGCTTTCATCTGTAACCTTTGTCTCACAGGGTGCTTACTGATGGCCCTAGCTCAGCACGCCCAGTGTGGGAGGACAGGAGAGTGAAGCCTTCCTTCTGTGAGGTCCAGTCAGAAAACCAGAGTGAGAGGATTCATGAGCAAAGGAAGTCTCCAGGAGTGGAAGCCGTGAGCTGGCCCTCTGGTTATGTCATTTCTTGGTTCTTTTAAATGAAAAGCAAAACAAGACCGAAAAACTCTGGCTTTCCAAGAAATGTTGCTCACTGTCAAATACTGGATGCTTTAATTTGGTTCGGAGGATAAGGTCATTGACATCTCTGGAAGGAGCCCTTCCTCTGACGAAGGGAGATGTCTTTTTCTCTGAGATTTTTGAGAAAGGGGAAAGGAGGAGTGTAAGAAGAATAAAAAAGAGGAGAGGAGCAGAGGGGCCAAGGGAGGGACATGGAGGGGGCACACTAGACAGCAGAGATATTTCTCCCTCCTTTTTCTTCTTTTTATAGTTTGTTTACTTTTAAACCGACATATGGAGAAAGTGAGTTGCTAGTGTAGAAGGCACATCTGGAATCTATTGGACCCCTCTCCCGGGCTCGCTTCCCCCAAGGGAAGCCGCTTTTGGATCGGGGGAGGGCAGGCATGCCTAATATTGGCAGGGTCTCCTGTAGGGTCACCCACCACTGAGCCATTTGGTCAAGGCATCTCCTTCCTTCTTAGCAAAAAGAAAATATGTTTGGTGTCAGAGTGCTTCAAGGAAAGCCGTGCAATCCCAGTGTCGTGAGACCAAAGTGGGAAGGCTCAGGTGACAGGGGTGGGGGTGAGGAAAGCTCAGATGTGGATGGTGGCTTCCATTAACTGCAGAGTGACTGAGGACTCCAGTTCAATCCCCGTCAGATCAGAGGGGGCCAGGAATGGGGAGGAGGAGTCTGCTGGGAATGGTTGCTAATTAAACCTCGGAAGTACTGATGAACACAGGCAAGGGGCTGCCTTTGAACCTGTGCCGAGGAGACCGGTGCTGCTGAGGTCCAAATCCAAGACGTGGTCCCTCTACTCTACAGCTCAGAGGGACCTGTCTGTCTCCAGAATTTGCCTCAGATTTTGGAAGACACACAAACTAGTCTCTGTGTGATCACCATCTCAACATTAGACTTCTTAAAAAAAAAATCCCATGTGTGTGTGTGTGTGTGTGTGTGTGTGTGTGTGTGTGTTTGTTGGAGGGTATATGTGTGTGTGTGGTGTATGTGTGTGTTGGAGGGTATGTGTGTGTGTGTGATGTATGTATGTGTGTGGTATATGTGTTGGAGGGTATGTGTGTGTGTGCTGGGGTGTGTGTGTGTGTGTGTGGTGTATGTGTGTGTGTGTGCTGTATGTGTGTGTGTGGTATATGTATGGTGTGTGTGTATGTGTGTGTGTGGTGTATGTGTGTGTGTGGTGTATGTGTATGTTGGGGGTTATGTGTGTGTGTGGTGTGTGTGTGTGGTGTATGTGTATGTTGGGGGTTATGTGTGTGTGGTGTGTGTATGTGTATGTCGGTGTGTGTGTGTGTGTGGTGTATATGTATGTTGGGGGTACATGTGTGTGTGTTAGGGGTACATGTGTGTTGGGAGGGGTATGTGTGTGTGTGTGTGTGTGTGTGGGAATGCAGATGCTTACACATGCCAGCATGTGTATGGCGGTTAGAGAACAACCTCAGGTACCAGTCCTTGCCTCCCGCTTTGTTTGAGACAGGGTGTCCTTTGTTATTTACTGTGCTGTACACCAGGCTAGCTGGCCTATCTGCTGGCAAATCTGGGCATCCTTCTGCCTCTGCCTCCCATGTTGGGTGGGAGTGCAGGGATTACAGAAGTGCACTAACACACCTGGCTTTACATGCCGCCTGGGGATTCAAACCCAGGCTCTCAGGCTCCAGAGAGGGAGCTTTACTCTCTGAGCCACCTCCCTGACCCAAGAGCTCCTTTCTGTTCCAAAGGAAATGCTAAGCAGTCCAACTTACAACATCAGTGCCAGACTTCACCCTTTCCCCAGTGCCCCATGCAAAACTGCCTACTGCGTCTCTCTTGCCTTCAGTGAGGACACCTTGACCCCCTTACAAATGCCTATTTTACAGGCCTAGCTAGACAGCTGCCATCAGACCAGCACTTCTGGGTCATAGTTACAGCCCACCCTTTACACTAATGTGCCCCTTAGAAAGTAAGGGTGGCCTGCAAGACGCAGGCACCTGTTCACCAAAAGAAACAACCCTTGTGTGAGAAACAACCCTTGGCCATGAGAGACATTGTCCTTGTCTATAAATCAGACCCATAGAGGGTTCTGTGCAGAAATCAATTAAGAACGGGTGGGGTTCGGCTGCATGCACAAATGTGGTTACACGCGAGATACAGGGTGTTCCGTGGGCTCATTTACATACTGCAAGAAACAGGATAAATTCACTTGGGGTGAGAAACCCACACAGTG